TGCAGTTAGTAATTATTTTTATAGAAAATGTTGTCATAACATTATTTTCTAATAAAGGAATGGATAAGTTGTTGTTCTAAAAGAATGGTTTATTGTACAATGGAATTCAGGATCTACTAAAAGGTCCAATCAAGCTCATATCTCATACTTTCATTCAACATACAGAAGCTGACCAGAGAGCAGTTCAGCCTTACTGCAATGAAAGAACATCCTCTATCAGGAAATTATAGTCATGGGTGAAATCTAAAAAGCATCAATTTGGGAAAATTGGGAGCATCAGAATGCAGGGAGTACTTGGAAAGCATGGCATGACACAAAGCTCACTCAGAATCTTCACCATCTTTTTACTTCTCCAGATGCCTCTCTGCAAATTCAAGAATTGAAAAAAAGCAATGACAACAAAGTCAAAATTTCTTGACCAGAGGATGGCATCAAGGAACAGTACAAACTTGATCTAATTTATTCACTTTGCAATGCATAGAAAGCAAAGCAAACTTTAAGAACTTTATTAAATCTACATTCAGTAAAAGGGAAACAACTAATAGCGCACCATAACGTTCTGAACCCATGTTTTTTAAAATAAATATTTTTAAAGCATGGTAAGCTATACAATATTATAGCGCACAAATTTATAGCCTGGACTGATTTACAATAAAACAATATCATATAAAAACTCCTGTACCAAATATTATTTCAAATTAATTTGCTTTAATCTTAAATTATCTATACACTTTTTATCTCTCCAATGTCTGTTCTTGATGATTATTTATTGGCAGCGCCATATATTCTGGATTTTTGCAATAAATTAATGAATATCAAACTCAAGGGTGCTTATGTAAGTCCATCATTAAACAAGATGGCTGATTCAGACTTTCCTGCTTCCATTAAACTGATTACTTACTTATGCCCAACCTTCAGTATTTCAGTCATTCTGTGGACCATTTTTTAATCCTCCCAGCTGTTTAGAAATTGTTGCTTCCATTTCTAATTCCCACCATCACCAGTACCTGATTTTGCAGATTTTCCCTACTCTTAGACTTCATATTAGACATATTAAAATATGTCTGTACTTAGCTATAAATACTGTAAACAGCTGGTGCCTTGTTTTTCAAATATTGATCAGAGGTCTTTCTTTTATACATTATATAATAATTGTAGAGAAACATTTCTTCAAACATCCGATTGATAGCATGACTAGGTTTAAGAAATGAATATTGTTCAAATCACTGCCATCTGGATAATAATCTCTTTTAGATTGTTTTAAAAATCTTACATAGCTAAAATAGTTTTCAGTTCATCATAATTTACACTATGTTTTGGTATTGAAGTATGGAATATTTAATTGAAATATTAAAGTACATTTAAAGCAGGGGTGAAATGCTTCCGGTTTGGACTGGATTGGCCAATCCGGTAGCGATGGCGGAGGGTGGTTCGGAGAACCGGTAGCAAAAATCCCTGCCCCACCCACCCATGCCCCCCCGGTCACCCGCTTCTTTTAAAAAATGCTTTTAAAAGGTTAAAAAAAGGGCTCTGACGATCACAGCAAAGCCGCATGATCGTCAGATTCTTTTTTTTTACTTTTAAAAGCATTTTTTTGTAAAAAAATGCTTTTAAAAGTAAAAAAAAAGTTTGCACACCACAGCTGATCACCACCCGTGCGCTGTTCTACTTACCCATGCCTCCTTTTGGCATGCACTGTGTGCACATGCACCTCGCATTTGGTACGTGGTGTGCACTGCGCATGCGTGCACACAGCGTGCATTCACAGACAGCGAACCAGTAGTAAACCGGTTCAGATTTCACCACTGATTTAAAGTTTCATAAATGTAATTAACATTTCTTGGGTAACATTGTCTTGCTAACTAGTATGCCATGGTTGAAGCCAACATGAATTCATAACTATATGTATTGAGAGATATGAGAATCTCAATTCTGAAAACATGCATGTCTGAAGAACCAGCAACAATATATTTAATACCATTTGTCTTTTCCTGGGATCAGTTGTGCTATGTATTCAATTCTCTGAAATACTGTAATTGGGAAACAATCTTCCTTTCATATATTTAGATTTTTGTTAGCATGGAGAGGTCATCTTCCTTCTGTGATTCATGCAATATTTAAAATGGCATTTATTGTTTTCAGTGTTTGAAATTTGTTCTTTACAATATCCTACAATATCCTACACTGGTATATTTCTCATGGCACTGAATGTTAAATATTGAGTCTGTTTAGTATATGTATTGTATATATTATTAACCTTTTATATATAAACTCTGGGCTTTTGGAAAAAGCTGAATACTTTTAGCTGAAGACTTTTTTTTTAAAAGACATGGAACCTATTTAGCAGTAGCCTAAACTAAAAATATAATTTACACAGCTTTAATTGTCCAGCTACCTGGTGGAAGTGTGATTAATAAAGGTAAAGGTTCTCCTCGCACATATGTGCTAGTCGTTCCCGACTCTAGGGGGCGATGCTTATCTCCGTTTCAAAGCCAAAGAGCCAGTGCTTTCCGAAGATGTCTCTGTGGTCATGTGGCCGGCATGACTAAATGCCAAAGGCACACGGAACACTGTTACCTTCCCACCAAAGATGGTCCCTATTTTTCTACTTGCATTTTTTATGTGCTTTCAAACTTCTAGGTTAGCAGAAGCTGGGACAAGTAACGGGAGCTCACCCCATTACGTGGCACTGCTGAACTGCCGACCTTTCGATCGACAAGCTCAGCATCTTAGCCACTGGCCCACCACTGGTTACATGCTTTTCTTCCTTTGTGGTTTAATGGTTAATAAGCAATGTCAAAAAGTATAGTCAATAGACAATGCAGAAAATTTCTGATAAATAATAAATACAGAATATTACTTAACAGACAGTTTATACTTACATTGCTTAAAATGGCCTCTGCTTCTTGTAATCCTTTGAGATTAATGAAGGAACAGAACATTTTCTTCATATACTTGATAGCTGGCATAAGGATTGATAGATCTCTATATGTAACTACTCTCACTAAATGTATATGTCGATATAAACTAATAGGCTTTTATGGAATTCAGATAGCAGTTACTTATATATTAAGTGAGAAGCTAGATAAAAGCATTAAGCTTTCAAAATCCCTTTTTGATGACTAAACAGTTAAGTATGAAACATTAATAACTTATTGTACTGAATTGCTTCTGTCTGTTCCTGAATAGCAATTTTTTTTTGTTCCCAGCCTATAATTAGGGTCATTTTAAGAATGTTGGGGTTTGTGGGATTGACTGTGGGGTTTGTCAACTTTCCCTTATATGATTTTTTAAAATGTCTTTGAAAAGGGGGTCATTGATTTGCCCACAAGCCCCTTTCCTTGTCTCTTTTTGTTAAATATTACATCTTTTAAAAAAAGAAAAAGAAATTGCTTTTAAATGAAAAAAAAAGATATCTGGCAGAATCAGTGACTGCTGAAGATAGGTGGTAGCATTCTGATAATTTGGTGTTTCATAAATTGTTCTGAAATTACAAAAAGCCATTTGTAAATCAGGCAATTCTCAAAGTTCCAATTATGCCCATCAACCCCTAAAAGTTGAGAACAGCAGTTATAAGATCCAATTAATAAACAAGAAGGGCTCTGGCCCATGGAAATTGTTGGAAAGTAAAAATATTGGGTGGGTGTTGTCTGGGGTCCTAGCTTCGAAGAAGTTTTGAAAAAATAACATAATGAAACAGGATGGTAGAAAACATTGATGCTGGGGAGAATGGGTGCAGAGGAAGAGGTATACATAGTGATGGAAAGCGCCCCCCTTTTCAGTTTCTACACTATTTTTAATTGATCATTCATACTATGTTAGCCACTTTATGAGATGTACTAGTTATTCCAGTGAGGTTACTTATATATTACTCAACCTTATGGAGATCATGCTATTAGCAATTGAGACAATTGAGATTATGCCTGGCTCATTAGGAAAAGGACACAAACATAAAGTACTTGAATTTATTGTTTAATGGTATGGATCCAGAATTTAAAGCCTCATTGATGTTAATGCTACTATAATTAGTTATAAGTACAATATGGTTACTTCCCAATTAAACTGATTTATTACTCTACTTTTTTAAAACAAAAGATCAAAAGGTCCAAGGAGCCTTATCAGTACTAAGTTCAATTTTAATTCACAACTTTCATATTGATGACCAGAAATATCACATTGGTCCCCAGAACTGTTGGATTTAAATGTTGAGCCCACTATAAATATTTTTAAGCAAGACAATTTTGTCTAATTAAAACTGAATAACCAGTAAACCTGGATAGTGATTGATAGTGCAATGCACAATTTGCCATTTGCCATGTTCAGATATGCTACCTGTATATGTAATGACATATGTGTGTATGAAGCTGGGGTGATATGTTCTACCCGCGCTAACTGGCCCTCCATATGCCGGCCCCACCCCTTCCAAACTTATCCTTCATGCATTCAGAGCAGTGGTCTGAAGAAAGATTCTAGTTGTATTCAATTGAGAATGCAGAATTCCCAGCCTTTTAAGTAATCCAACTAAATGTGCTTAGAAGGCTCCTTTAGATTATTGCTCTGAATGTACAGAGATTGGAATTACATCAGGATGAATGCACACAGAGGATTATTGGGAGATGGATCATCATACACTCCTATATATTTTGTTGCCTCACACATTAAGATTTAATGTTTGCATGGCCTGCTTTGTCCTCTGGTTCAACCCAGTGTCATTCCTTGCTGTTCCCATGTCCTTATCATGTGGCTTCATTACAAGAATAGAAATGACTTTATAAAGAAGCAAGCAAGCAATTAAGGAAACCAAAAGGTTTTGGAGATCTTAAAGATGAAATGGCATACTTTGGGAAATCCATCACCTTCTTTGTCAATTAAATTTATATTTTGAAAGTTAAGGACAAACGGAAGGTCATACTTTTCTCCTATATATCAAGTTAAATAAAATCACATACTTAGCTAAGTTTTTTTTAAAGAAATGTTAATTTATTGTCCTTCATTTTCTGCTTAGCAGCTTCCTTTGGACCTGCCTTCAGCTGTGGCAGAAAACTACCTTTACATTTCTTACATCTGGATGAAGTGTGTTTCTAATGCAGTCAAGTGTGAGTATTCACCTTTGAATACCATTGGCACAATATGCTGTTAGCCTTTAACAAGAATGTACTCCAAGGCACTGCTGGCATTAAACAGCTCACGACAAACCAATAAAGCAAAAAGTTATATATGATCTAGCTCTGCAGTAGATCACATAGTGAAATGTACAGTGGGATCTTTGTTCCCCAAAGCTACTTTGTTCAACTCAGGGCTGTCCACAAGGGGTGATCAAAGCAATCAAAATGGCAGCCATGAATGGTGCAATCAAAACTCCACCTATGTCACACCTAAGCAAGCAGAGCTTCAGTCATGCCTTCATGGCTGTCATCTTGCATTTATGATCATAATCAGCAGACAACCCTGATTCCACTAATTTGGGGAGCTGTCACATTGCCTCTACCTGTACAGTCACCTTTGCACAAAATGTTTATTAGGACAGGTAGTGCAGGTGGGGAAGGAAATCGGCAATTGTAAAAATTCTTGGCAAAGAATGAGTTTACATACTTATGCTTTGAAGGAAGAAATATAACTAAATTGGCTATAAATAAATAATCCTACTCCCCTGGTGACATTGCTGGGAATATTGATGAGACAGATTGTTTTAAAGGAAGAAGGCAAACAGAATAGCCAAGGTATACAATACATTTTATTAAAAGCTTTCAGTCTCACTGCATCTTGTCTAAATATAATATTAAGTTTGTTATCACTTATTTCATTTGTATTTCAGATCAAAATGGATTTGAAGCATCAACATCTTCGGATGCCACTTTAGTCTTTGATATTGGGAATAAATACTTTCTTTCTTTTTTATCACTTACAAATAATCCCAAAAATTATCATGTTGTCCTACACAAAACATAGGCAGTTCCACCTGAAAAAGTGCATTTGGTACAAAATGAGGAACACGAAGCATAGTTCTTATCAATTTTGATTGTATTGTTTCTAAAACCATTACATTTTTGTAGACTCAAAGTTGTATACTAAACAGAAAAGGTTCAACACCTTGATTCTAAATAATTTAATTGCTGCAGGGACAAAGTTATTAGCATTATAACTAGCAAATCTCAATAATGATGTTGGAATCCTTGTGGGCACATGGACAAATAATTGTTGTGTAGGTGTTTGCCCACAGTGATACATATTTTGATTATTTTGTTTGGACAACTATAATGTGTTTTCTTATGGAGACACATTTGAAGTGTCAACTAATGTAGAATGTGAATCCCAATTCCAAATGGACAGCCAAAAAGAATAATATTAAATAAGTTCTAAATGACTAAAACATCAAATTAGAAACTGGGGGAGTATGAGTTCTGGTCCCATCTTTGTCACAAATGCAGCTGCTGACCTTTTGTCAGTCATTCTCTCTTAGTCCTAGGAAGAAGGCAACAGCAAAACATTTCTGAAAAGGTTGCCAAGAAAATAGCAGGAACTAGTCAAGGCAGTCACCAGAATTCAAAACTGATTCAAAGGCATGTACCCACCCGTTCCCACTGTCACAAAAAAACTGCACTGGTTTTTTACTTGCTCCTCAGGTCCAACTATATTTTCAGGATATTCTTAGATTAAATTTTACTTTGACTGAAGTTCTTACCCTTTATAAGAATTGCATTGCATACCAAATCTGCATTGATAAAGCTTTTTTCATAACTGTATCTTAAGATGCCCAAAGCAAGACTTTGATAAACTAAATTTCAAATTGATTCTATGTAAAACAAGATGGTCCCTCACACCTAGTTGGCTTTCCATTAATAATAGAAGAATTACCTACAGTATGGCAGTTCAGAGAAATTCCAGGATGCAGTAAGTATTGCTTAAGAAAAAAGAAGCAGTATGTGTCAATAATGGATTCCCAGTGAAAGAGTATTAGATGATTTTACCAAAAGTCTAAAAGATGAATAAGTCAGAAACAGAAGCAATACAGATTAATCTAAATATTTTGTAAAGTATGTGTACATTTAATGAACTCAAGTAAGGCAGTTAATAAATTTTACTTGCTCATTTATATCTTAATGTATCCAACATGAACAATATTCAATTTGTATTTTGTCTAATTTCTTTAAACTAAAGGCATGTGATTTCACTAATTCCTGATACTGCCTTTAGCTTGCAGTCATTCTTTGTTTATTAGCGTGATCATAATTTGCAGAATTAAGACTATATATCTGCAATCTTGTAAGGTCTCCATCTCTAGTTCCTGCTGATGGTTATTTGGCAGTTAATACATATATTACTTTGCCTATTACCAATCATCATTTAAATGTTGTCTGTGACTAGAAAGATTATGGGAGAAAAGTTGCACTGGCAGGGCTCTTAACATATTATTTATGGGCTAGATCCTAGAGGGCAGGACAAGAAACAATGAATGGAAACTAATCAAGGATAGAAGCAACCTGGAATTAAGGAGAAACTTCCCAACAGTAAGGACAATTAACCTGTGGAACAGCTTGCCTTCAGATGTTGTGGGTGCTTCATTATTGGAGGTTTTTAAGAAGAGACTGAACAGTCACTAGTCTGAAATGGTATAGGATCTCCTGCTTGAGCAGAGGGCTGGACTAGAAGACCTCCAAGGTCCCTTCCAGCTCTATTCTGATTCTGATTCAGTCAAGGAAAGAAACAGAGGACAATGAAGAGGCCCTCACCAATGTCATCCAAACCCCCCTTATAATTTTTAGTGGCAAAACAAGTGTAGGGAGCCAGCAAAATAGTTGAATTGTATATAAGATTTTGAATACATTCTTCCACATTTTTGATTATATCTATCATTTTAATGATTTTGTTTAAATTGTTTTTGCTTGAATTATGTGTTCAGTCTAGAGTCACATATGTGAAATAGATGGCCATATAAATGTAGTGAAATAAAATAAATAAAATAAAATATCCTGCAATATTTGCCCTCATTTTTTTTAAATCTAAAGCAAGTGCTTAGAAAAGAAAATTGCAGAAAAATATTGCATAGAACTATTGCATATTACAACCTTAAAGCTTCAGAGAGCTTCACACTATACATTCTTTATTACAGCTAGTATTGATAGGGTCAAGTTACATAATTCTCCTATGAAATCAACACTGAAGATTGTACCAAAGAGTGAGTGGTTTCCAAAGTTAAAAGAGATTATCCAGGATTGTATTCATTGAAGCCTGCTGTACTATTGTTCAGCTGAGACTCCGATCTTGCAGTAGTTTTGGAGGGCTGTGAGAAATTAATTTAAGAGTCCAGAAAGCTGCATGTTGTCCAAGAGCCTCAGGCTGAAGACATTTGAGTTAATTGATCACCATTACCTCATTTTTATGTACTAATGCCCGAATAAGCTGTAGAGCTTGAGAAAGTTAGGTGATCTCCTCCTCCCTTTCCTTCTCTTTCTCACCCTTAGTCTGACCTTAGCCAGGACATCCTTCCACTAGTGTCTGCACAAGGCATGCAAGGATCTAACTTGTCCTTTCTGAAATCCAGATTTGACCAGAGGGGGTTTTCTTCTTTTTTCTATCATTAACGTAGAATGGGAACAATTATTTCTAGAAATGAAAAAGGACATAATAGCTCTGCATGGAAGATCAAGATGTTCCTTTAAGTGCCAGCAGTATTTTATGTCTGCAAAGAACAATATGCCTTGGCAACAAGAATGAAAATTTAGTGAGGTTGTAGAGTCCAGCACAATTTTAAATCTAGAGTTATTCTCTGTTTTTGTTTCTTTTTGTGTGTGCAGATTGTTTAGTATTTTCAGAATTCTGTCCTCCATAAATTCCGAAGCAGCTGAATAGTGAGAAATTTATGAAAGACCGAAGGTATGCTTCTTTGCACTGTGGATAAATGAAGTAGGAAATTGACTACAAAATATAGTGTTAGCTATCAATCTGGATGGGTACAAAAGGGGAATATACAATATCACTGTTTTCATTAAGATGTGTCAATCAGACTAAACAAACCAAACACTGCACCCCAAGGTGAGTAATTTGCCTCAAATACGACTAGATGGGTCAGAACTTCAAGCATCACTGAAACCTATCCTAATCTGTAAAATTGCTATGTAGGATAATAGATACTATATGACAAAATTCTATTTATTATTTATTACTACCAATCATATTTTATGTTGCTTAATATAGGTGATTAGATACATTGTGTTGGCCTGACACCTTAGCAATAATCCCATATCCCTTATAAATGTAAATTAATGAAAGAAATACAATTTCTACATTCTATATAAAACACAATTATTCAACACAAAAAGCCATGCCTTGCTCAGAATATTACATAGCCAATGACTATAATCATTGCATATTAACACAGCCTTTAAAGCTATTTTTAATATATTTCTATGGCTGGGAGGAGATAAAATCTGTTGGAAATAATCTCCACCTCTCTCTCTCTGTTTAACTCCTAAGAAAAATGGACCTCTGGCTGAATTTCAAACAGACAATGCAGAAAGGATAATCATTGCTAAAGAAGATGAAAAGCAGTGAACCTCTCAGAGATTATATATTTATATAACATATTATGTGGATATGTGAGTGGATAGATAGATGATAGATAGATAGATAGATGATAGATAGATAGATAGATAGATAACTAGATAGATAGATAGAATCTGTGCTTGTGTGTATATAAGCAAGTTAGAATTGGTTACCATAATATAAATAAAAAAGTGAAGTTTAACATATCAATAAAATTATGATTTTTGTGATTCCATTGTGGCCTCTATCAGATGCCTACAAAAGTGATCCAGAAAGAGAAGGGATTGGGAATTCCAAAGTGGTTAGGAGAATTGTCCATGATTATTCCTCCAATTCCTAATTTTTATCACATTGTGGAATCTGAAATAAGTTTTATGAATACATACTATGTTGATCATTCTTATTCTCAGGCACTTGAGGGCAAGTTAGGATAAAACAAAACTCATGATACTTTCATACAAGTTCTTTGCATCACTCCAGAATCAGCTCTGGACTTCTTTCTTCTTATCCTCTGTGTTCAGCAGCTGACCTGATTCAATTCTAGCCTAGCTGGGTTATTATCAAAACTAGAAACAAAGTTATTTTCTGTTTGTAATGATGAAGCTTAGACCACTTTAGATCACTGTGGATGGTCCACTGAAAGTTCAACTGAGGGTGTGCTGCACTGGGGAACAAAGCCTATACCTTTGCTTCAGTGGTGAAATCCAAATTTTTTTACTACCGGTTCTGTGGGCGTGCTTGGTGGGCATGGTGTGGCTTGGTGGGCATGGCAGGGGAAGGATACTGCAAAATCTCCATTCCCACCCAACTCCAGGGGAAGGATACTGCAAAATCCCCATTCCAACCCCACTCCTAGGGGAAGGATATTGCAAAATCTCCATTCCCACCCCACTCTGGGGCCAGCCAGAGGTGGTATTTGCTGGTTCTCCAAACTGCTCAAAATTTCCACTACTGGTTCTCCAGAACCTGTCAGAACCTGCTGGATTTCACCCCTGCTTTGCTTGCTCTTTTTATGAATGCATTTTTTTCTTTTTCGTTTTATGCACACTGAGAGCATATGCACCAAAGACAAATTCCTTATGTGTCCAATCACACTTGGCCAATAAAGAATTCATTCATCCATCCATCCATCCATCCATCCATCCATCCATCCATCCATCCATCATCTATCTATCATCTATCTATCTATCTATCTATCTATCTATCTATCTATCTATCTATCTATCTATCATCTATCTATCTATCTATCTGCTTCTATCAACATATAGGGATATCTAAAATCATACACACCCACACCCATACAGACTATTTAGAGATCTGCTAGGAAAAAAATGTCAAAAACATTTGCAAAAGCTATTTATGTTTTTCTAAAAAACAGAACAGCAGATAAAAAAAACTCAAAATGCTTTGAATTTTTCTCATCAAATACTAAGTAGTAATTATGGAATAATTATGGTAACTGGGTGGTTTGTCATCCAAGTATAGTTTAAAGCCAGAGATTTACTTTTCACTTAATGAAATAAATCATAATTAACTAGCGAAACAATTTTGAAATCTATTCTGTTCAATTTGGCATAAAATTATTTAAAATACTCCCAGATTTTTAAAAAAACATCCCAAAATTGTAGGCAAGGATATGTCATTAAAACCTTAGTAACATATACTGATTTAAAATTTGAAGCTAATTATAGATTTTTGTGTGATGGCTGTGCCCAGCAACTGAGCAAGATCATCATGATCTTCTGGTTCTTCTGTAACATTTTTTTTTTAACCTCAAAGGAGTCATGACAAAACAAAGAAAACATGATGCTAGATAGACCATTGTAAAACTGTGTGAATTGCTAGCTGTACTGTAATTGCTATATTGATCCAAACTAAAACCTTAAAATAAGTTTGTGTCAAGTTTAGAAGACCATCACATTCCCCTCTTGGTGATGCTGGAGAATCCCTGCCTTCTAAACTGTGGGAGAAGATCTAATGTGACATAAGGGAGAGACCCCATGAGCCTGTGCTCTATTAATCTATGGAGGAGGAGAAGCCAGCTAAAGTCTTCTGAGCAGTGATAGAAACTGCTATAATCTGTGTAGTTCCATTCAATCCCATCTCTTTATGTTGAGGCATATGGACACCACGAGCTAAATGTCCATCTAGAATTTACCCTTTTCATCTTCCCATAATGGATCTGGAGTCTTGAAAGGTTATCATTGTGGAAAATGTTTTTTTTTTGGGGGGGGGGGGAGGGGGGGGGGGGCAGAACCAGTACCTGGATTCCACAACCAGGTGCTCTCCAGATGTAAGAACTTTAACTCCCAGATTTTCTCAGCCAGTGGGGCTATTCTGAGACTTCTGAAAATTTAGGAAAGGTAATTTATGCAAGAAACAATTAAAACATTGACAACTTTTGCTATGAAAAAAGGATAATGAAAGGGGGATATGGCTGAGATGTATACAGATAGTTCCCAACTTACAACAATTTACTTAGTGACCTTTTGAAGTTATGATTTAACATTTTTTATTGAGTGATGGCTAACCTTTTTGCCATCGCGTGCCAAAAGCGGGAGGAGTGGGAGGGTCGCGTGTGCGTGTGCGTGTGCCCACATCCATAATTCAATGCGTCCCACCCTCCTGCGCATGTGCATGTGACCCCCTCACACTTCCCCCTGCTTTTGGTACGCGATGGCACAGTGGACCTGTTTTTTCCCCTCCCCAGGCTCCAGGGGCTTTCTAGGAATCTGGGGAGGGCAAAAACAGCCTTCCCCATCCTCCCGGAGGCCTTCCGGAGGCTGGAAACAGCCAGTTTCCCGACTTCCAGTGGGAGTGGAAGGCCTGAAAATCAGTTGGCGGGTGCATGCATATGCGCTGGAGCTGAACTAGGGCAACACTCGCGTGCCCACCAATATGCCTCCACATGCCACCTGTGGCACCCATGCCATAGGTTTGCCATCACAGAGTTATAAGATAAAATAAGATACAAAATAAGAAAGCAAATAGGAAAACAGTGGGGGGAAGTGGGGGGAAGAAAGTGAGGAAGGGTTAAGAAAAAGAAGCGTTGATTTCTGACTTTCTGTGTTGCAGTAAAATAAGGCATTAACATGAAATCACAACTTTTTGTTTTTTCATAATATAAACTAGCCATTTCTACAAGGATCTATCAATCTAATTGGCAAAACCCAAAATCAAAGTTTCATTGACCTTTTGAAGTTACAAAGGCACTGAAAAAAAGTGACTTATGACCCCTTTTCACACTTATGACCGTTGCAGTATCCCCAGGGTCATGTGATTTACATTCGGAAGCTTGAGCACTGACTCACATTTATGATGATTGCAGTGTCCCAGAGTCATATGTTACCCTTTTGTGACCTTCTGATAAGCAAAGTCAATGGGGAAACCAGATTCACTTAACAACTATGTTACTAATTTAAAAACTGCGGTG